GGCCGCGCGCCGGCCTGCGCCCCCGACCCTGCCGCCGCCGATCCGCCCTCAGACCCGTCGGCCGAGCGTATTTGTCTGATGTTTTCTGACGTGACTTCACTGAAAAGCTTTGACTCTCTTACAGGCTGCGGAGATATTATCGCAGACCCCGAGGAGGAGGCGGGGCCCAGCTGCGACAAGCTCGCGCCCGGGCCGGCCCAGCCGGCGCGGGCCGGGAAGACCCCGGGAGGCGTGCTGGCCTACCAAGGCGGCGGGGAGGAGATGGCCAGCCCGGACGGGGTGGACGACGCCTGTCTGCAGGAGTTCTGGGACATGCTGTCCCAGAGCGAGGGCGCGGGCCAGGGGCCCCCCGAGGCGGCGGCGAAGGCGGGCCCGGCCGCGGAGCCCTCCGGGCTGCCCGAGCCCTGCAAGGACGCGTCCTCCGTCAAGCGCCGCAGGGTGCACAGGGCCCCCACCGAGCTGCACCCGAAGGCGGAGCCCAAGCTCGCGGAGGAGGAGCCGCGGGAGGGCGTCCCCGGCGGCGACGAGGGCTACCGGGACCCCGGCACGCCCGGCCCCGAGGAGGACAGCGCGAGCGGCGCCAAGAAGTCGGCGCTCCCCCGGGACAGCGACAGCGGCGACGCGCTCTCCGACCTCTACGCGGACCCCGACGCCAGCCCCGCGGGCCCCGCGGCCGGCGAGGACACGGCCGGCTCGTCCCGGCTGAAGCCGGTGTCCCCGGGCACCATCACCTGCCCGCTGCGAACGCCCGGCAGTTTGCTGAAGGACTCGAAGATCCCTGTCAGCATCAAGCATCTCTCGAACCTTCCTTCCAGCCACCCCGCTGCGCACCAGCAGCCGGCCAAGAGTGAGTTACGCAGAACAAAAATTCCCGTCTCCAAAGTGCTGGTCCGCAGGGTCAGCAACCGGGGCTTGGCTGGGACCACCCTGCGGGCGGCAGCGTTGCATGACAGTGCCAAAAAGTTGTGAGGTCTCGAGGCCAAGGTGGATGGGTGGCGTGTCCAGGAACGCAGCTTTTCCCTGGAAACCACTGAAGGAAGTGATGTAGGACTGTCCCTGCCCCTGAACCTGCACCGCGGGGGTCCTCGCGCTGGGAACAGGGGCAGGACACACCCGGAGAGCCAGACGCTCCGCCTGGAATTCTCCTCTCAAGACGAGTCCCTGAGAATTATTTTTGGGCACTTTTTTTTTTTTTTCTCTCTTTTTACCTTTTTAAAAAGATTTTTGTTTCTTTCATGCACTGAACACTCGGAAGTCACCTTCACTTGCCTTTGTAGAAAACAAGACAACCAAACCTAAGTTAGAGTCATGCCAGGGTGCTGGGCGGCGCTGCTCACAGGGCCTGGAGGAGTCACTGCAGACCGCGGGGAGAACCCTCCCCCCTTTGCGTTCTTTTCCTTTTCCTTTTCCTTTCCGGGGGCGGGGAACCCCCTTTGCTGTATCACTGTGTGGAAACCACCTACAAAGCTGAAAGAGGCAGGTAGCGACCTAAGGAGGGCATTTGGGGGTTGCCAGGCAAGGTCCCTAATTTCAATTGCTAGGTATGCAAACAGGTAAAGGTTTTCCCCTAGGAAAATAAGCGAGGCTTTTAGTTTGGTTGGTTGAAATCGTTCGGGGAGAAATAAAAGGCTTACAGAATAGGTTTTGTTTTTGTGTTTTTGTTTTTGAACCCCTCACCTCCACCTAGTGCAGAAATCAGGATCAGGGAACGATTTCACTAAATGCCAATAGACACAATATTTTAGCATTTATAAACTGTAACCTTCTCATGTGTAGATAATGCATATTTTACAGTTCATCCCACTTAACATTTATAATCTGTCAATAACCGAGAATTTAAAATCTGGTCTTATAGCTGGATATGATGACTGTCCCCAAGCCATTAAGGTTCTTTTATGTACTGTAATCTGAAGCAATGCTGACTTTGGGTTTGGTTTATGTGAAGTCCCTAGTTCTTAACACACACACACACACACACACACACACACACACACACACACAAATCTATTGTGTGACTGTCCTAGAAGAATGGTTTTGTCTTGTTTTGGTTAAGATTCTGTTTCTTACCCCAAACGCCGGTTTTCAGAATCTTGGTTATAATGGTCCAAGATGAGGAACATATAGTGAAAAAACAAAAGAAAAATACAGTTTTCTCTGTCATTTGAATCTTGCTTCATAGACTTATGGCTGAGACAAAGGTGTTCAGAATATATTGACAAGCTTATGTATTGTAAATGCATTACACAGTTTGTTTTTCAAGAAATGGTTTCAATTACATGTATCTTTCTAATAGTTCGGCTGAAACTCTCATTTCAGAAAGAGTTGTTATATGCCTTGGTAGTTTGAATGATAAAGTGAAGCAGTTCTTCGAAAGCTATTAGTGTCTAATGATTAAATTAATATCCTTTTTGAAATGCACTCCAGTGTATCTGAGCAAAAGGCCAGCGTTCCTACTTGGAGGTAATTCATCATATCAGGAAGATTATACATATTCCAGTGATACCACACATATGTAAATGACATAAACACTTGGGTCCTTGTCATTCTCCAGAGATCGCTAAGTACAGAAATGTTGTCTTATTTTTAAGCTTGTTTTCTGTTTTGCAAAGGGATGAAGAAGGCATGTTAAAATTTGAAAACCTGTTTTAATAACATGAAGGAAGTAACAAAATAAATGGGCATCAGAGGAAAAAAATTTGAGCCAGTAATATAAAGCAGGTTGTTCCTCCTTTTAAGTTTGTGATGATTCAATCAGAAGATGAGGTGTAGGTTTGCTGAATTTTTTTAGGAGTCAGTTTAATGGCTTTTATTACATTGTCCCAGATCTTTAATGTTATTTCAAAGTAACATTTTAATAGTTAATTTCCTGTCTATACAGGAGACCCTAACGTAGCCATAGCCTTAAGCAATCTGAACACACTACTAGAAATTCATTCCAACACCTCACACATGCTAATGTGCTCAACTGGGTACAAACTAACAAAAAACCTGTACTTATTTAGATTTAGAAATCTTTTGAAAATTATTTCTGTCCTTGAGAAAGAACTTTAAATTGGATTTAATGCTGATAGTGCAATTCAGAATCAAACTACAGCAAATTAGAACATAAATTTTATTTCTAGCTGCAAAGCAAAGGATTCTAATTTTCTTCTTGTGCATTTTTCTGCACGAATTATATTCTTCATTGCATGGCTCTGTTGCTGAGCTTTATTTGCTCATTTGTCCAACTGTGCAGGAAAGTTCAGAATACCTGAACTGCTGATAATATTATCTTAGTAAAGGCCACTGTTTCTAAAACACTAGTATAAACTATTTTTGCTTTCACAATTTGCTTTCACTGTTTCCGCATTTACGCTACTTTGCGGTCTTCTCTTTGCAAGTAAGAGAAAATAGTAGCAAAATTTAATTTCTCCTGTTAATTAACCCAAAACTGGTTTTATTTCTTTTTCCCATGTTTCATGATTTTTTTTTAACTGTGTCTCTGAGAATTGCACCCATCCCAGTCAAATGAAGGATGCAGGCCATGCATTAAAAGGCCTCACTTGCTGGGACTCAGAAGAGCGGCAGAAGGAATGACGGGTGGTCAGTCTTTTCTAACCAGAGCAAAGGTTGTAGTTGCTTTCTTCTACTGAGAGCTGCTTTGTCTCATTTGTGTTTATGGAGATGGCTTTCTAGAATTTTTCTGGATGTACATGCCAGTTGTTATTAATGCATTCTCTAACAACCGTCTGAGGTTTATACAGGCCTATATTTGCTGACTGTTTAAGGGAAGGGTTACATATGGGCATATGCCACCTTTCCTAATATGTCTGAACCTAAAATTTGTGGATTAATGCCTTTTGGTTAAAGAGCTGCTCAAATCAGGGGGGAAAAAGTCAAGTCAATTGTTGGATCAGAAGGCTATAAATTCTCAATAAAGCCAGCCTGACTATAATATGTGCATCACACATAAAATGCTACTTGAAACGTCTGCTCTAGTTCTGGTGATGGTTGGTGCTTTCATTCTTCTACTAGCACCAAGTGGGAGGAATTTTATATACTACAACATTTTAAATAATCACAAGAGGAAATAAACTTTTATCATTTCACTTCATAACAATGGAATATTGAGCATTAGGGACTTTCTTTAGGCACCTTTTCCACAAATGACCTGTCTATTTAAATACAAAGTGTTTTAATCTATGAAGGTGATGTCTTGCCAGATTTAAAGGTTTTATCCATTCATCTCAATAGTCACAAAATATTTAAATGAACATGCAGTTAAATGAATATAAAGATAGTTCTTTGCTGACACATTCTTAAGGAAAAAGGGCTATCAGCAGGTGTTAAAATTTGTTTGAGTAACCTGAAAGTTTTCATTATTTATGTCTTCATCGGGTTAAGTTTTGAAAGCAAAGCCTTACTGTGCGCTTTGTGTAAAGGGATTGCTGAGCGGCTTATCCTGGTGTGTAGCTTCTCACCTATTTTTATCACAGTTGCTTGGTGCTCTCAGACAGCGGGAATGGGACCTTGACATGATGTGATCAGGCTTGGACCACGGTAGCATGTTGGAAGGTATTTCTTGCTGGTTAGCCTCTAAATTTCTCTCTCGAAATGGAAATACATGGAGTTGGCTCCACCAAGCTCGGTTTCTGTTGGGACTGTCCTAGGACACTCAACATCTACTTGGCTCCCTTTTCTACTGCTAAGAAATTCTAGAATTTGAGACTATAATGGGCTGAGAATATGGCTCAGTGGTAGAGTGCTTGCCTAGCGTGTGTGACACCCTGGGTTCAATCCCCAGCACTGAAAAAAGAAACTATTAAGGGAAAAGCATCCCAATTGCCTTTTCTTGCCAAAAAAATCGCTGGTTAAAGAATAGGAGAAACCCAAATGCCTCTCCTAACCCCATTCTCTCCTCCTGGCAGACTAAGGAATGAATGTATTACTCAAGCCTAGAAATTTTCAATTCTTTACACAAAAATATTTATAAAACAGTTTGGGACCAAAGGGCTAGTAGGGCAGGCCAGTATCTTAGGAATCCAGGATAGGAAAGCAAAAGTCAGTCTGACTTCATAAAAATTGGGAGGCTGCCACTGTCAGCATAATAGGTTGTGTGGATCCTCACCAGGTGCGGTCCCATGATTTTGCACCCTTGTCTTGCTCTGAGGTTTCGGATTGGCTGTGATGGGTGGCTTGTTAGGAGCCTTGCCACTGTGATCTTAGCTTAACAGAGACAATTTCAACAGTATCCACTTAGAAGGAGTGTGATTATCTCACTGCAGATAATGTTTGTAGAGGGTGATTCAGAAGACTAGTTTCATAATTATAGAAAGGAGGTCCTCCTTGAACTCAAAATAGGAAAATTAAAATAGCCATGAAGCTTCTAGGGCTGAAATGTTTTAGATGGATGTTTACTTGAATTCAGCACAACATATATATATATATGGGACATATGCTGTATCTAATACTCAAAAACCCATTCAGTGTGGGGCCCACATACAGCTATGCTGTAACTGGATTTTCTTAATAGTCATTAAAGTCACTTTTATTTCACCTATGTTAACTTTTTTGTATTTGTTGCTTATAGTTTGTGGAGTGGAGCAGAGAGGGTGAATGAAGCTGTACTAATTCCCCTGCAGATAGTAATTATAACAGCAGTTATATTTGTTGAATGCTGACCATGCTTTGGGCACTGCTGGATGATTTATAAATACTTATTTAGTTCTCTTTCCAGCCATGGGGGGTTGCGACATTGTTTCCCTGGTTTGACATTTAATTCATCCTTTTTTTGTCCTCTAAGCTCTGTCTATCTCACTTCTCTGTCATCTCTGACTCTCTTTTCCTAGTCTCTGGGAAAAACCTATAAATTCTTTATTGTCATTCAGAAATGGAAGAGCTCAGAGCGGCTGAAGTCATTGGCTGTTCGTGGTCAGCAGGGAAAGCTAGCCAGGTCCATGGACCTGAAATGAGTTTGATGCATAAGGTGGTGCTCACAACCCTCACAGGGAAGCCGCTGCCCTTCTAGTGTTGGAGCTGGTAGGCTAACAGTTGGCCTTCTTTTGAGAGGAGCCCCTCCTTCCGTAGCCCTCTTTCCGGGGATTAGCGTGGAAAGTACAGACAGAAATCTCTTCTGTTGTCATGGTGATACATCTTCCCTGATAGGATTTCAGTCATTCTAAGCACACTTCTCTTGTTTTTCTACCTTCAGCCTGGTCTCGGCTTATCCTGGTGTGCTGCGTCTGTTGTTGGTTTGTTTGTTTTTGTTTTAAAATCGTAGTAGGGATATTTAACATGCAATCTGCACTCTTGATGGAGTTTTCAGCGTACCACAACATTGTTATCTGCACATACACTGTTGCACTGCCAATCTTGAGAATTTATTCATCTCGGCACAACTGAAACTTTACCCCTCTTCATCAGCAGCCCCCCGCTGCTCCTCCCTCAGTCCTTGAAAAGCACCTCTCTACCCCTCGATTCGATGAGCTCGACTGTTTTTGATGCCTCGTATGAGTGGAATCGTGCGGGATTTTCCTTCTGTGGCTGGCTCATGCTGCTGAGCATGATGTCCTTCAGCCTCACCCATGTTGTACACTGCAGGGTTGACTTCTTTTTAGAGACTGGGTAGTATTCCATTGTATATCACGTTTCTTCAATCCATTGTTCTGTTGACCAGCACGTACATTGTCTCTGTATCTTGGCTATTACGAAGAATGCTATAGTGCACAAGGGAGTGGAAACATCCCTCCAAGATCTTAGCTTCAATTCTTTTGGATAAATACCCAGAAATCGGGTCACTGGGAAATTTTATTTTTGATTTATTTAGGATGTTGAGTACTAATTCCTAGAGAGGCTACATCATTTCACATTCCTACCACCAGTATACAAGGGCTCCAATTCCTCTATTCCTTCACTGACACTTGTTACCTGCGTTGTTTGTTTACATGGTAGCCAATGAGGTTATCGCTTGCCTTGAGATAATTCTGCACTCCAAAAAGAAGCACTTCTCTCTTTGAAAAGTGGTGCATCCTATAACCCATCTAGGGCTATTGAATCCTGGCCTTTGTGTTCTGATTCAGTCGTTAGCTCAACTCACAGCTGTTGAACACACTCTTGGTCAGTCACCATGACTGTGAGTATTTTATATGTGATTCTAAAATCAGCATAAGCTCTGTGTTTACTACAGTGGCATGGATGATGTTTTGTCCTTCATTTTACACTGCTGTCTTTATTGTTCACAAGAACCAGGTGAGGTACGTATTGGCTCCATTCTTCAGAGAAAGAAAATGATGCTTAGAAAAGTGAAACATTATCTTGGCCAAAGCTATCAAGTTAGCAGTTAACCAGGGCAGGAACCAGAAATCTTACGCTATAGCTCATGCTGTAGTGCTGTAACGATAAATCTGTTTCAGTCATAAGGTTCAGTTTTTGTATTAGTTGTTTTAAGTAAGAAACTGATCAATGTTCTGAATGGTAAGAGTCAGGCTAGATTTTTATGATGGTGGACACCATGAGAATGATGACAACTTTAGTTAAAAGTGAACTTTTTAAAAAGCACTTGGTGGCCTTTAAATAATCTAAATTACTTATACGTCTACGGTAGATCTTGGAATCTAGCGGGATTTTTTTCTCACTTAGGCCTGTCAAAATTTGAGCCATATTCATAAACTGTCTGAGTCCTACACACTACCTGCTCTATATACAGATTTCACAATCTGATGACTTTTTTGTCAATAATATAACCAGCAATATAATTCTGATGGTCAGTTCAGTAGATTGCAACCTATGTTTTTTCCCTTTTGACTCTATCAAGATGTGTCAGTGTTTAAAGAAAATCAGTTTGAATTTGTATTGCTGTCACAACTAATGAGATCATTTTATTGTCACATGGGCTACATACACTTGATCAAATTTTCTGAATTTTAAATCTCATTTTAAGGAGAACCAGCTGAATAATTCAATAACAGTGTTTATTTTATGAGCTTGTAAACAGGGGCAATTTCTGGAAACCATTCAATAACTGAGTAGACTAACTTTCGGTTCTGTGTAAGAAGATACATTTCTAGTAACATGTTGCGTGGGTTCCTATTATTTGAGATCCATTAAGCTTTCTCAGGCACTACGTGGCTCATGTAATGAATCAAGAAGAAATACTAACAATAACTGGTTCAACGGCATAGGGACATAGAATAAATACACAACAAATGCTTGTTAACATGTCATTAAAATGGTCTCAGGTAGCCTGAAGGAATTAGCAAAACTTCTCAGTTACCTTCCTGACCACCATATATTTCTTTACAATACATTTATTTCTAAACAAAGAGGGAGAAACTGTAATGGAGAACTATAATATTTCATTTCCTCCAATATAAATTTAACTGAACACGGAGGATCCAGTAGTGATAGATGTAAAAGAATATCAGGGATAGTCTTGGAATTATAGGCAAAGTAGTTTCCTGACCTTTTCACTTGTCACCAGCTACCTGTCAGGCTCATTGTGAACTTCAGGTTTTGCCCAAGTTATTTATATGAAGTATCTCTGTATAATATAAGGAATTGCAGGTTATTTGAAAATAGCAACAAAGACAACCCAAATGAAAAATTCCATGTCTATAATTAGTTTTCCTGAAAGTCAGGCATGTCATTGAGGACAGGCTTTGGGCGGTATTATTTTTGTGCACAGGAGGAAAGTTGTTAGTAGGTTTATAAATATTATTTTTATAATAGAATGTTAAACCCCTGGAAAGCATCAAAAATTGTCTCCTAGAACTAACTCTATGTTTTCAAAATTTGTTTTCAAAAATGATTCTAAAGAACAATAGAGTCTTTTCTCCTTTCTCCACTCCAATGGTTTAATGGGATAGATGAATCTATGTTTATATTTTTAAACTGTAAATATTTTATTTTGGGTATT